GACATTCTAGACACAAAGCAAACAATGTCCAGGATAAAGCTGACAAAATGATCAAGATAATATGATAATTACTAGGCAATCAAACAATATCAGACAGAACAGTCACACATTTAATCATAATATGAATTTACCAGCTAAATACTCTATCGCAAAAAAAATGACTCGCATGAATCACTGGAGAAATCTATAAAATACTTGATGGTCAACACTGCAAGTCTAAAATTATATTACTTTCTACAAATCAAAATGTGACATACGTATATATATATTTCTTTTTCTTTCACTTTCTTATTCAATTTGTAGGATGAAAACTATTAAAAAAATCAGTGTAAGCAATGTATATGGCACACAGAAATGGAAGAGAAAGAGAAAACTAAAAAACCCTAAAAACAGTGCCCARGCCGCAATCTTAATCAATTTTCCCTAAATAGATCTACTGAAAAGTCAGAAAACTGTCAAAATTGCCGTACATGTACATGTCAAAAATCATGTCAATATATTTTTTTCCAAGTGATAATAAAAACCATGAAAAAAACGGACTTTTCAAATCCTATGGAAGACATGGAAGTGTATTAAAATTATAAAATCTAGCCCCCACTTTAGCTCCCTAGAGAGACTTWAGGCTTAAAAAAGGATCAAACTATTTCGTCTTACAAGCTGTAAATCTTCGTTAGAAGCCACTTACGTCGTTGAGCCAAAGTGCTCACAACAATTATTGGTAATTTCCTTATAAAACAATAATTGCACTGCATTTGTAAACTCGCTCTATGACAGGGTATAAACCAGGTTTAGTATTTGTCCTGATATTATTGAGTTAAAGCATCAAAAATAGAATTTGGAATAGTAATAAGAGTTTTTTTCCTCATCTTTACGTAATAAGCTTAGGACATGAGTTTTTTGTTTACTTTTGTCGCCATTTTTACCAARGTGTGAAACTCCTAAAGTCAGCTTGTTAGCGAGTAAAAAAGTTGTCAGAAAAATTGATTTTTACAATGAACTTTAATTAAAGTTCATTAATGGAATTTTCTACAGCAAATGTYCCAGAACTTGCGAAATGGTAGCCTGGAAGCTTTTGGTAACTAGGAACGCTAAATAGTTCGACATGACTTACCAGGGATTCCTTCGCGGCGACTGTTCCCTSGAATCAGGCAACTTTCCTCCACTTTTTAAAACCATTTTGATCTTCTTAAGTGACGATAACAAACTCACAGCTGAGTTTAACGCTATGTGATCAAAATCAATCCCATTTACTTCAATAATCTTATCTCCAGCGCTCAATCCTTGCTTGTGTGCTTGAGAACCTGCATCCACTTCCGAAACGTAAACATGCGACCCTTCCTCTTGGCCGCCTTGCAAACTAAAGCCTAAAACTTGATCTAAAGATGTCCTGGTCAGCGAAATAACCTTGAAYGAGCCAGCAGAAGGTGATACTCTACCATTCTGATGCAACTGTCCGTTCCGCAGGTTTAAACTTTGAGTTTTTCTGTCAGGAGAAGTTTGTTTGTTGCTTTTAAACGGGTGAGCCATTTTATGATAAGGCGCAAGACTGTCAAACTTTGCCAACTGCGCGGCTGGTACAAGGTTTCTTATGTCCGACARCAAGTCAAGTTTACGAGGAGTATCCAAACATGATTTTAGTGAATCAATTAACTTCTCAACTGATTTATAAGTTTGGTAATCTTTCATAATATCGTGAAGACACTCGCGATCATCTTCAGTCAGCAAACGTTGTGCATTTCGTTGGAACTCACGAATTTGGCGCTTTCTTTCTCCTTCGGACGTCGACATTGTAGAATACTCTTTCCCTGTTGCCCTCCGGAATGCTTTAAACAACTAAACTATTTGAAAGTCGTACACAAAATACTAAATCTGTAATGATTAATGTCCATCTTTTGGCCTTTGAAGCGACGCGTTCCGATGATCACTGAATTRATGTATGCAGAATGCATTTAAATAAATTATTTTTGATTGCTTTGTGGTTGACACGATGGAATGTCAGGAATTTGACKTCAGAATAGACAATTTCTTCTTACCTTACACCGGAATCTTTTTGYATGCTGAAGTTATCATTTCAGGAATTCGATTTGCGTCTACACCAATCTCCTGTGCAGAGATTCACAAATTTTCTAAAAGAGTGCTTGAAAGCGCCCCAAATGCCGATACACGTGGTCTACATGCAGCCTGCACGGCCCAGGGATCCCAAGAGGGCCGATACGCAGCCTACAATTGTAGTCTGCACGCATTAGGATACACATAAACAGCGAAAGTTTTGGGGATTTATCGACATCAGSAGTTTAAAAACTTTTGGCAATCTAAAATAGCTGTAGTCTCGAGTTGCTGAAATTCCTACCTGGGCATACTGTAACAGGTTTATCGGATTGTGAATGGAAATTCGCGACCGCATTGAATGTTGTTGGACCAGTCAGTTCTCTTACGAGTTTCACCTATTAATGCACTCTTCTCTCCAGTTTCCGTTTATATCTTGCGTAACGGCCCGCTGAGGGAACTGCGGAGACCCGAGTGGAGGACCCCTAGATCCGCGATACAGAGTATTGTTGCTACAACTTTTGTCCCATTCCCATATTTTCATAATATCCAGTAATATCCCAGCCAAACCCAATCTCCCTCCCCCCCCAACTCCCTCCCTACTGACCATCAAATACACTTCAAACAAAAATAATGTCTTATATAATCTTACATCTGGCATCACAACTGCCACTGATTCATTTATTCAAACTAATATACTATCAATAATATTTTATGTTAAAACAAACTCTATAAAATAAAAATCACAGCAACCTTAGACTGATAAAATTCCATAAGTTTTTACACCTTGGTTTAGAATCAAACAGTCTAAGGCTTTATTCAAATGTCGAACTTATGGTAATTATTGCCTAACTTGAAACTATCGAGTCTGCTGAGACTATAACATGTAAGTGTGTATAACACAGACAAATCTAGAGTTCACACAATAAATCCGTGAAACAGATATTTCAGTATTAATGACCACTGAGTGTTGAGTAGACAATAAAAAAACAACAAAGGAATTAACATAACAAAGCATACTATTTCATTTCACGGATTAACTGTGCTAATTCTATTTTCAAATATCTAACAAAATATAATTTTGTTTTTTCTCTTCCAAATTGCTTTTCATTGTTGGTATACCTGCATTGAAAAATAAAATGTGTCTACAATGACACTTCATTGCAATACTTAATATCTAGTGCGATAAGCAAAGATTGGTTGTAAACCTTTAGGTGTGACCATTAAACACTATTAACTTGTTTRAAGCCACTCTAACTTAAGTATAGCTATTGCCACATGTATCAAATGCACTGGGATTATATGATAAATACAATTTGTTAGAGTGAAGTCAAAAAAACCTGTGAAACAGAAATTACATTACTAAACCATAGTATGCTTCTATTGCATTGTTTTCTTTGTGTCTATTTGACTATCACACAGACAAATTTGTTTCACAGGTTTAATGACCCCAGTCTAATAAGTTAGTCAATGTCATTGTCGTAGTTTGTTTTTGTGTAAATTTGACCAATTGAAGGCGAGGTACTTAATACGTCAAACCAAAATTGGATCTTTCTTCTTCTTGTTTCTTCTTCTTCTGCTATACAAATAGCTTTGTAATACTTGTCCCATTGCTGGTGACAAGAGTCATTTGATGTCAAATTGCAATGTGGCTGCAGTAATTTGGTCCAATCAAAGGGGAGGCACTTCCTACGTCAAACCCCAGATTGGCTCTTTTGTTTCTTCTTCTTCCTTGTGTGCTATTCATAGTAAATAGCTTTTCTTGTTCCATTGCTGGTAACAAGTGATTGCATGTTAATGTATTTAGATATAGGGAGATTTGTTGAGTCTCTGCTTTTTATTTTGTTGTCATGGCAATAGGCACAGTCTCGCTGACACTTTTGGTAAACTAGTTGCAAGTCCAGTGTTGATTTATGAATATTGTCATCATTTGAAAAGCACCTTTAACCCAAATATGTATGCTATTGTTGTTGCTGCTGCTATAAATGTTGCTGTGTTGCTGCTACTGAAGGTTTTTTGGATTTTGTTTTAATGGTTGCTCTTGATGTAAATCACTTAAGGTGCCTAAAGGACTGTATACATGTATAATTTTGCCATTGTTGTTGCTGTTATGGTTGTTGTTGTGCCAATAGACACACAGTTTTGTTCACATCTATGGCGAGGCAATGGGTTACGTCAAACCAAGTGTGAATTTTTCATCTTCTTCTTCATCATCATCATGAAGGCATCATAAAAGGCTACTGTTAAGCCTAAGTATAAATGCCATTGTTGTTGCTGCTGCTGTTGTGTTGCTGCTGTTGTAGCCATCTTCTACATAGCCTATAGTCAGTATTTCATTGTCATTGTCCTTGTTGCTGTGTCAATAGACACACAGTTGTTCTCACATCTATGTCGAGGCAAGACTTTACACCAAACCATGTGTAAATGCATCATTATGAAGGCATCATAGAAAGCCTAAATATGAATACTATTGCTTTTGTTGCTCCTTTTATTGCTGGTAAAGTTGTATCTACTTAGTTTTGTATTGATCTTCTTTACTGTGATGTTATATCATTGTCATTATTTTTCATGTTGTTACACGATGCTCTTGTTATAACTAACTTCCAGATCAGCTCAATTCCAGTTGTTGTATAAGTCATTGTTGTGTCTTTCCAGACACCCAGTGTTGTTCACATCAATGGCGAGGCAATGCTTACTTCAAGCCAAGTGCGACTCTTTGGACATTACTTGATTGGCTTCAATTTTCAAAATGAAATGAAGGCTCAATATTTCACAGTGTTTGTGCTTGAATAGATTCTGCTATTGTAGTTGTTTAGTCATGAAGCATGTACTACTAGTAATGGACTAATTTGGAATGGTWTTCTTTGTTGATAATGAAGGTTAATGTGCAGGAATTGTTGTGTAAGCATCAAGGCAAGAGGTACAATCAATGTTCAGAGCTTTCAAGTACAATATAACATTAACCATTTCCAGTATATATCTTTTTGCAAGTTTGCTGTTTTGTTGTTGTGCCAATTGTGATAAAGTCATTTCATATTTGATGAAGAAAGTTTCTTCAAAGCAAATGTGATTTCATAAATTTCTTCTTAGTCATCATCTCTTCTTGTCTGTTTTGCTATCATTATTTAAGGTATGTGTTGCCGTAAAAAACAATTTATTGTTGTGGTTCTTTGGTGCTGTTGGGKTGCTAATTGTGACAAAAAGTTAAAAACAAAATAATTCAATCCAAATGTGTTCCCTTTTGGAYTCTTCTTYATCTGTYATCAYYATCTTCCTTGTCGCTGTCAATGTCTACACAAGTTTTGCTTCTTGYTTTAGTAATGTTTGCTTGTATTACAATAATTAGTTGTTTTTTGTGCTTTTCTCTCTCCTGTGGTTGTCTGCAGCCATGGCGAGGCAGCAAGTACTTCAAACCATGTGCAAACTTGATTTTTTCTTCCTCTTCTTCCTCTTCTCCATCAAGCAAGTCTTTGTATGAAAACCTTAACTTGATAGTTGTTGTTGCTTTTGTTTTATCTGTTGTTGTTGTCAAAAATCTCTTGAATTTGTTACTTTGAGTAAATTCGGGTCTTGTTGTTACTACATGTCGTTACTACATGTCAATATTTAAATCATAAGGTGTCACAATGATGCAAAAGTAAATGGTCTGTCATAAACTGTTGTCTTTTCCATACTGATTCTGCAAAGACTCAAACAAGGTGTGAAATTCTCTGAGTGTCTAAGTTTGTGTCTAAGTTTTGTGTCTTGGCACTAAGTCTCTTGTTCACAACTATGGCGAGGCAAAGAGATTGCGTCAAACCAGGTGTGAATTCATCATCATCATCAATCATCATCATTATCACCCAAGACTAACGTTAAGCCTTGAATATATTGTTGTTGCTGTTGTTGTTGTTGCAATGTTGCTGCTGTGGTTGAATGTTGCTACTGTTTCCTTTTTTTTTATTCCTTTTTTTAACTATGTTTTGTTATATTGCACTTGGATCTATTTATTGAATGCATTTGAGTTGTGAATATTGTTTTGTATTACTGCACTGTACCCCATGGAAGGACCTCCATGATCATGGTTTATCTCAGCTTGTTAACGGACTGTTGCACATAGTCCTTGATGGGAGGACTTCCTACTACAATGCTTACACTTGAAATGGCTTCTCTTGTATGGCTTCTTGAGTATATATGTTTTTTTCTTAGTGTCTTTAGTTGTATATTGGTTTTCCTCTTGTCAGTGGAATGGATGCCCCAATGTCTTACTACTGTTTGCATTTGAATGGATTACCAGGTAAGTTGATGCTTGCTTGCTTGCTCTCGATTGGATCTTCTTGTGTCTTGTTTCATTATTGTGATCAATGTCCTTGTTTATTTCAGTCATCTGAAGTGAAAGTCATAGTTTCATCGTTCTCGTCTTTTTTTCTGACAAAACCAAAACGGCTTTAGTCAAAAATAAAAATCCTCGGTGGTATCYGTGGTTGTATCCCATGTCTSTTATTTGTCAGTCATTGTCATGTTTATATTYGACTCCAATTGTTGTTATTGAAGCATGTTTTTCCCATATGATTATAGCGGCTTGGATCCTTATAGTTTGTTATTTGTTGAATACGTTTCTCAGTTACTTTCAYATCTTTACATGTAAAAGCAGATTTTGTTTAATGTCTTTGTTCTCGTCAGTTATTAATGTTCTGGTAGTGTGTTTGCATTTATGTACTATTGAAAATGCTGTAGTTTTAATGAACATGGTAAGGTTTTGGTGCAATATACTATGGATGGATATCACTATACATATGACTGTACCGTTATTGTTATTGTTGCCAACACTAATGATTATTATTGATGCTATTTTATGTTGTCTTATGCATTATTCATCATCATGAAGATATACCAACAATGAATTAAAACTATTTGGTGATCAGATCAACAACTAAATTCTCCCCAATTAAACAGATCATTTTGATATGGGGAGAATAAAGACATTGATCAATCTTATGAAAATACTGCTGGAATAAATTTAGGTTATATGTGCTGAATTTCAATTAAATGACCAGTTCAGAACTGTCATTTTACCAAAATTACTTCTTACATTTATAAGATAAATATAGTGACATAAAGGATATTATTATAAATATAAACTATTCTTAAACAAACTTGTTTTGAATTGATGAAAATTCACCTTRCTATGCACAAGAGGATCTCAGCAAGGCTTCTACCACACCAGAGAATAACTAAAATTATTGCAGTTGCCASTTGTAATTTTTATATACATTCAAACTATTGTCCTTTTTGAGATCCTCTTCTACATGTAGGTAAGACATTTAACTACTCCTTTTCTATAATAACAGCATTAAACAAATGAATCAATGGTATTTGTGATAATGTGAATACTTTCTTGAAGCTGTTCTTCTGTGATAACCAGCGGTGGTGTGAATCTAATGATGTGGTCATGRGTTGGTTTAGCTAGAAGACCATTGTCACGAAGTTTAAGACAAACCCTCCAAGCATCAAATTCTGAAAAGATTGTAGAAAGGTGGTTGAGATCTTGGAAATATAGATTTACATTGTACACCACTATGGAGTTCCACATGGTGTGGTCAGGATTCAAATCTCTCTGAAGGTATTCATGACTCTCATAATGGCTGACACTAATTGCTCTATTAATAATGTTGACAAATGAAAACACTCAAATGGTAGATATCAAAGCCAAAGATAAACTCTGAAAGTTTC